ATCACAATCCTGCATGTTTCAAAGTATTATATCGAGTGTACAATGCAATTGTTTTCAAAACAATTAGCCCACGACACATAAAAACTCCATGAAAAGTGTAAATATAGAATCTATTATGAAAATTATTCCACGTTTTTTATCAAAACATGACTATATACTTTGTGATTAGAAACCTGTTGAATTCTCCAAATATTAAAAAGCTGTAAATATTGTGGCAGGTATATTTAAGAACTCTTGTATCTTTTGAAGTTAAAATTACATATTTTATAACATTAGTCAATGCTTGGCCTACTATTCTTATTTGACCCAAACTGGACATTTAAAACTCATATGTATAAATTACCTGGTGTGATCACGGCTTTTACCTGTCTGCAATAATTTTGAACTTTTACAGATTTTTATTCTCAAGTTAGACATTGTCCGGAGTTCCGATAATTTGTCACTTGCAGTACAAAAGCGGAAACATGAAGTTTAATTGTAAAACAAGGTTATAATGCAACACCTACCTGTTGTGAGGGCACAACTGCAAAAAATGCACTAACAAGTTATACACATTGAGTAACAACACACTACTTGTACTTTCAGTTATTTAAGGCACTTCACACAGTGAAAACTTAAATTCCATACATCCTTACATGACTTAACAAAACAACTTAACACTTAACAAAATTTTCAAACTTCCTGAGTCTGCGTAAAACTTTTCACAAGGTGTGATCGTGTCAAACACGACTCGCGAAACTACAAAACAACGAAACCAAACGATGAAATGAAATGAAATGTAATGCTGTCATTGTTGTCAAACTAATCCGTCAACGACGCAGACCTTTCTGCGCAACATTAAACTAACTGATTTCGAACAAGGTTGCCAATATCAAAATAATATCTGAGGATAAGAAATTGTTAATCAAATTTTTTCATCATACTAAAATGGAAAACGGCGACTAATAATAAAAACTTCTGATGTAAATTTAGTTTTGACTATGAGATAAATTCTTGGTCTTTGTCTCAGATTCAAACTCATATTTGAGTTTTAAGCTGTTATCACATTGATGTAAGTAAGCTAATGATGATTGTTGTTTGCTGGTATATTTAACAGATTATGTTGTATACCAAAATATATTTTTGGGGCTCTAATGCTAAAAATTCCACGGGTACAAAAAGTTACCAACAATGAGGTACTTAATTACAGAGAAATACAATTATTGAATTATGTTGTTGTTAGAAGTAGCCAGAGCTCATGGCGGAAAAACCTGAGGATATTGTTTGATTGCTCATCCGCAAAAATCTTTCATACAGCAATTTCCAAAGGTACAATTGCCATTTGGATCGCCAACCTTCGAAAGTTTGGCAAACGTTTAGAACATTTCAAATAACAAGAAAAGGTTAACACGAGTTAATAGCAAAATAAATAAAGGTAGAAAGTGTCGGTATACCTCGCAACAAGTGAAAAAAAATAATAATAAAATGTGTATATAAGATGAAAGGCAACCGTAAATACCTATTTCTGACTAATTGGTCGGCGCCAGTACGGTGCAGTCATGTTAGGATAGGAGAATTTTAACTTGGAAAAGGATCACTACAGGAGCAATGCGAACAATTTGAGGTTTCCAGAGTTGCTTTCTATCTAATATACATGTTTTATTATTAGTTTTTGTTCCCTTGCTAAGAGCTATGCCAATACTTTCTACCTTTATTTTGGTATGAACTAGCATAAACCTTTTCTTGCTGTTTTAAACGTTCTAAACGTTCGGCATTTCTTTCCTCAAGTAGATGCATCCCATCCTCCATGGATGTATTAGTTGTTGCCCTGGAAACTTCAGAGTCTTCTAGCAGTATTGCCACAAATTGGTCGCATTACTCCTGTAGTGATTCTTTTCCAAGTTAACGTTCTCGTATCCCAACTTGCCTGCACCGTACTGATAACGACTAAAGGTGAATTCAGACACATCAGTCCCGTTATAGTCTCGGCGCCGAACCGGTCCTGTTTGGTCACAGAACTATCAACTATCTGACAGCTGGGAAACTGTTTGTCAACTGATGAGTGTGAATGGCGGCAACATATTTGTATTGAAGAATATTTTGTATGACGGATTGTTCGGTTCGGCGCAATCACTGTGACGAGACGTGACTGATGTGTCTGAATCGACCTTAACGACCACATAGTCAGAAATAAGTTTTAACGGTTGCCTTCCATCTTATATACATATTTTAATATTTTTTTTATCTTGTTGTGAACTATGCCGATACTATCTACCTTTATTTTACTATGAACTCGCATTATTTTCGCACCTTTTTTTATATTATAGCGGATTTGAAGTTTCGCGGGAGCCATATTTGACCACGGTTTTGACGACGTTTCGGCAAGGTCACACTTGCCATTTTCAAATTAGATTAGTCCTGCTTATTCCTGATGTTCCAGGATGCTTTGCAATTAAAACCTTGAATAAAAAGTATGCAAATGTCACAACATAGTCCCTAAACTATTACTTGGATTTATGTGAAACGTTACAAGAAAAATAGATTGGACTTTGACTCATCAAACCCTGATTTCATGAACCTAATTATTTACTCTTTATCAGTGGCGTTTCATGAACGCATCTTAAAAGTATTCTCTTGTATTGAAATTGAAATTTATTTGAGAACTATTATATAAAATGAAAATTGGCAGGCATTTTTTTAAAATATTTTTTAATAATTTGTTTAGATAATTAATGGCCAAAAAACAAATATAATGATTGTTAGTAAAAACGTTTTTATTTATAACTATGTATCTATATTCTGGTATTCTAAGCGTAAACACTCGACCAATAGAGATGGGATATAGGGTGAGTAACACCAAGCCGCAAATCTCTAGCTCTTGTCGTACTGCTTATCCTTAGGTATATCCGATACACCAGAGTATTCTAGACTAAGTAACAGACTATTTAGACTTTACATTGTTTCGTAATCTTTTTTGTTTTCTGGTTACAAATTTAACCATCGATTCCCTAGAACATTCACAGTGAAATCTGTTCCACTTGGGTATCTGACCAACGATTTTATTCTAGTTCCTACAAAAAAAATTAATTTGTATTCTGTGATATAAAATTATTGTTATCATACCTAGCATATTTAGTACAAATAAAATAAATCCATTCTTAACCATCTTGGATAAAAAATATATTAATACAATAAAAATATTTATATTAAACATTTAACTTTTTACTTACAGCTTGGTTCATAAATCATCAGAATCCTGAGAATTCATTGAATCTTCTGACCCGTTCGCGCCGACCTTTGCTATTACTATTAGAGGTTCAATAACGTTTCATCCAACTTAAAAGGATTTCTTCAGCGCTGATTTGTAGGTAAAGGTTTAAAACCATTGCCACTGACACTCATGTTAAAAAAGAACAGCGACTAACAATTTCCGTTGAATGTAGTATTTTTAGTCCATCATATACCTTTTAGGTAATTTGTTTTTCCACTTGCGTGACGGATCTATGATGTGGGAGTCATAGATCCATGGATAATACTTTTTCTTACTTCACAATAAAAAACTAATAAAAAAATGAATACGAAAATTATTAAGACAAAGCAATCTAACACAAATTACACAACCGATACTATAACAACAACGATAAACACTAATTGCAAAAACTGTTCTTATGTTTTAAGTAACATTTTTGGAGATTGATCATTCATTCTATGCAATTCCCACTATGCAAGATATTATCCAGACCCTTTATTTTTTAACAATCAACAAAAATGTAACATGACGACAAGTATGAATTTTATAGTATAAGGATCTTCATCGTCGCACCACGTATTTCCTTGTCGATAACAGTTTTTAGATAACATGAATCATTTTTCAATGATATAATATACAAGTATGTGGATTTGAGAAATTGGTTCCGGTATAAGCTTTAATCATAGAAAGTCATGTACCTATATTTCCATAATAGTAAGACCAGTAGTTATACAACTAATTGTCAATATTGCACCGATAACAAAAGTTAACCATTTTGAATATCTAGGATGTTGGATAAATGAGACACTAAATCCGGATGAAGGAATTAAAACTCGTATAGAAATTGCAAGAGGAGTATTTATGAAACTTAGATCTATTAGGTATAATCAATTCTCAGCTGAACTTACAGCTGAGAATTAAGTTCCTAAAATGTTATGTGTATTCTGTATTACTGTATGAATGTGAAACCTGGATTATGAAGGTTAACATGATGAACAAATTAGAAGCCTTCGAGATGTGGTTATATCATGGAATGCTCAGAATATCATGGGTTTATCAGCAGATGAATTATTACATGCCGCGCAAGATCGAGAACGATATCGGCAAATCGTCGTAGAACGTAGAAGCTACCCACGCCTAAAGCTTGGACACGGTACTCAAAGAAGAAAAAGTAAGATCAGATTGGAGAATTACGAAATTCATAGAGCAACAGAAACACGACCAGCGAGATAACGGTAGAATTAAGTCGATACATTTTTGGCAAAGTAACGTAAGTGACATTTTTGGCGAAAATCATGTTTTTTAATTAAATTAACACTATTATTGTTAAAACGGTACTGCCAAAGTGTAGTAAGCCTAGAATTACTTTAAACCTTTTTTAGGACAAGTAGATCAAGTTTTTTCAGTCATAATTTACATAAGTTTAACCAGGTTGAATTAAAAAATTGTTTTTTCTACAAATCGTTTTTGGTGACTTACGTTACTTTGCCAAAAATGTATCGAAGTTTTAATAAAATAATTCAATTTAAAAAAAAATTATGAAATAACCATTCCGTTGAAATTGTATGTCTTCCCAACAGTTGGCAGTTTCAAAATCGGTTCTTGAATCACCCTTTTTATTTTTTTGCAGAGCATAGAGTGGCATAGATGTCGAAGGTCAGAAATCAGCAACTTTTTAAAATATAAACCTGGCAGCAACACTGTACATTGCCTCACTCCATGTACCAGTGTTACCAACATTATCATTGTCATTTACTAATATGCCAAAATTGTTTGAATTGAGAATTGAGATATTGTAGAATTCAGTGAGATGATAGGTTATCTTATACTAAATGTTTATAATTTAATTGTCTAAAAATTTTTTGTTTGGTTGAAGCTATTCTGTTCAACCACCAACGATAAATTAATCGTGTTAGTTTTGCTCGTAAAGTAGTGTATAGTTGTGTTTTTTTTTATCCAAGATTAGAATTCAATTTTTTAATATGGATACTGAAGAAAATATAGAAATTCCTATTTCTGATATTTATGACGATTTCGATAATTTCGATTTAGGAGAAACTGTGGAAAAAGTATAGATTAACAAGTTAATGTAAGTAAATATACTAATTTAACATTTATGTTTTAGCTTAAAGAAGAGAATGAAAAGCTGAAGAAACAAATCATTGAACAAAATGAAGACATGGCAAAGTTGCTTAAGGCTCTTAATGATATGAAAACCACAAACGATAATTTAAGGAACAATATATCCTCGTTATTGTTGACCGCAAAGGCTGAATTGGGAAGAAAGGATAATACTATAGCAGATTTGAGAAGAGATTTGGACAACATTGCTTTTAGACGATACAGAGAAAATTTCCAAAAATATAATGGCTGTAGTAAAGCAATATCCCAAAATGAAGAGCAACTTTTATCTACATGTGGGAATAACAAAGAAAATAAAGAAACAACTCTCAAAATAGAGAAATTACCTTTGGTTAAATCTAAAAATGTATATCAACATTCTGTGGAAACTTCAAATAATTTACAGACAAATACAGAGCAGAGTCTTGATAAGTTACATAGTAGTAGGTATAACAATTATCAAGAAAGAGTTTTGAACACTAATAAGGAAACAAGAGAGATTGAATATTTAGATCATCCCCAACCTTTGTTTGTGAAAGATTACAATTCAGAGATATATGTAAAGCAAGAAAACAAAAATAGAAATAAAATATTTGATTCAACTATACAAAAACAAAGTGAATATGACAATTTAGAAAGAAATCAGAATCATGTAGATAAAAGGTGTTATGATATAAATCAATATGAAAATATAGAAAGAAATTATAAACTAGAAGATGTGGACAGGCATAAGAGGCACACAAACAAAAATAACCTCACAAATCAACAAGACAATCACGAAGATTCAAGATGGAATAACAAAAAAACTAGAGACAGAAGTAGATACAGGAATGATGAAGATATAGATCTAAGAAGGGGCAGAAATGATTATAAAAGAAACAGTAATAGGTTTGATGGAAGAAGCAAGGATTTGAGATATGAAGGGAGACGAAGGGAAGAATCTGATGAACAGTTTTCTAGAAGGTAAGATTAAACAATTATGCTTGCATATAATAACATATATAAGCTTTTAGTTTATTTACTAATGAAAAGCTGTTCTTCTCATTCATTAACCTATTATAGGTATCATAAGTTAAATATTATGCTTATATGGGATTAAGTCACAATTGATTTTAATGAAAATTACATTTTATAATTATTAATGTTTGACATAACACATTTCCACTTCAGAAATTGTTTTCAAAAAAGATTATTTAAAAAAATAATGTTATAACCAAAAGTTAATTGAGTTAAAAAAATTCAAAAAGTGTAAACAACTTTTGGTTATAATAACAAACACCTTACTATTTTTTAAAATAATCTTTTTAGTAAACAATTTCAACAGTGGAACATCAAACAACAATTATAAACATAATATTTAATTTTGACATGCCACAAGAAAACAGTTTCAGAACCTTTTGATAGGTATCATGCTATCATAAGTTGGTCTTGCTGATGTTCCTCCATTTTTCTCTATCCTCCATCAATCTTGCACTCCACTCTGAATGTAGAACTTAAATCATTGTAAGAATGTGATCTGTATCTAGCTCTTTTACACTCCATCCTGTATTGTGAGCTTCTCAAAGCCATTTCCTCTAAAAGTGCATCCAAAATAGACTATTATTTGTCTGATATGTGTGTCCTTAATCTTTTCTTGATGTTCAGTTGTTCTAGTATTCACACATTATGTTCTGTGGGTTGTCCAAAGAATTCTCAGCATATGTCTCCAGCAGAATATCATGAATGCATCTATGCTTTTTAAAGCGAAGCTTCTATACTGGAGTTGTATTCATTTTTCTTGATAGTAAAATGCTGAGGCAGTCGTCATTTAGCCACACAAAATAGTTGGAAGATTCCATTTAATTGACAGGAGTCAATGTAGAGTCAATGGAGGAGGTCTGTTTATCAACATATAATTTTTTTCAATTTTATTAAAATGTATAACAATGATATTAACTAACAGTGGTTTTATCTACTTTTGAATGTAAATTGTTAAAATAAATACAATTTGTTAAAATAATAATAAATAATAATAATAAATACAATTTGTTAACATAATGTTAAAATAAATACTAGTCTACATGTCTACAGTACCATTTACTATACCACTTTTTTTTTATTTCCTTGAGGTGACTACACTGATTCCATCCTCCAGATTTCAGTCTGCTTAAACTTTGCATTTTTACTATTGATGTTCTCAGTCTTATTTCTTCAGCGCATCCTCAGGCTTTAGTTTGGGCCCCAAATGATATACTAGGTGGCTCATGCCTTTAATTTTATTTTTGTGTTAGTTGGATTTGGCTATTGTTGCTTTTATCTATTAATATGATCCTCATTTTTTCTGTTTATTTTGATACCTGCTCTTCAATAGTTGACATAATTCCATAGCTGGAAAATTGGCGAAAATGGTTGACCCATCTGCATATTTAAAATAAAAATTTTTCTTCTGCATATATGGTGACACCGCCATTCCATCCATCAGTGGCCTTCCACATAATCCACTCAAGTGAAATATGTAGTGTAGGTAGGAGTATGTAAAAGTTGTAATAACTTCAATAGAACACATATTTTTCTATTTTTTTTGTTCCAAATATGTTGCAAGTTGCTGTTGCTATTATTATAAAAAAGACTTCCGTTCAACTTGTATTTAATTAGTATTGGAAAATTCTAAGCGATTCTTAACTGCATCAAAAGTCTACATGATATAAGCAGGAGAAATATTTAAAAACAAATATATAAATACTTTATTTCATTGCTAGATATAATCTGCAACTAGGACAGTAATGAAGGGGTAAACTTGTTTGAAGATTTGCATTTGGCAATAAATCTATGTTTTACAGACAAATTTTTTCTCAATAAATTTATTTCTCATAAAATCAAAAGTTAATGTTTACAATATCAAAAGACAAATTACAAAATGTTGGTAAACCATTATTTACCTTTCTCCTATATTACTCCTCCAATGTTGTTCTGGTAATAGATTATATCCACCAATAAAACCAAAGATGTGAATTGAATGACCAATTCTAGGTAAAAGTGTATCTTGAAAGTATACAAGTTAGTATGTCTTCTTTTAAAATATACATTTGTTCTATGTATTTACTTACATTTAAATGAAAGCAAACTGATTTATTTTTTTTTGAGGTTTACCGCATGTCACTTAAGTACATACATGTTGCCTTGTCTGAATTTGTGCCAGGTATTATCCATGTTGTTTTTATCATCCTGTGAGATTTCAAAATAGATATGGCAATAGCTAGTTTAAATTTATACTAATCAACAGAAGAAACCAATACTAGAATAAACCTATCAGCTACTAGAATTAATTTAGTATTTGCAAACCAGAGGGACGTTAAACATCATGTAGATCCAATTATCACTTAGGAATAGATCTTAGACTAGTTCTTCTATTGCTCTTTCTAGCTAATATTTTAACACTTCTTCTTCTTGTAGTTCCTTCTCCTAACGGAGGTTGGCTATCGTCACAGCTATTTGTACCTTATTGTGGCTGCTCTGAAAAGATGCTGCTGAAACTCTCTTAGGTTTCTTAGCCAGGAAATTCTACGCCTTCCTATGGATCTTTTACCCTTGATTTTACCTTGCATTATGAGCCTTAATATCTCATATTTCACACCTCTGGTAATATGGCCTAAATATTCCAGCTTTATTATTTTCACATGATTTATGACCTCGCAATCATTTTGTAGCATTCTTAACACTTCTGCATTTGTAACTGGTTGGGTCCATGGTATTTATATTTTCCACTTACAAATTTGTCTTGCAATTTTAATGCGTCTCCTTATTTCTCTACCTTGATCATTGTTTTCATTTGCCCTGGTTCCTAGATATTTGTAGTTATTCACTCTTTCTACTTGTGTTCCCTCGATATCTAGCCTTCCTAGTGTATGTTGATTAGAAATAATCATGCACTTGGTTTTCCTAACGTCCATTTATAGTCCATATTTTATACCGACTTGATGTAATCTATTTACTAAGCGTTACAGTGCTTCTAGACTGTCTTCAAAACAGCGGTGTCGTCAGCGAATCTTATGTCTTAAGATTTTTCCATTTATTGATATATGCTGTTGTTCCTCTGATATTGCTTCCTTAAAAATAGCTTCGCTGTACAGATTAAATAATAATCAACAGAAGCAACTATGTCTAACACCTCTTATGTTCCAAATACCCACCGAATATTCCAAATCCACTAAATAAACAACTACTCCAGAAAAATAATGAAAGTGCATTAATAGGGTAACACAGGGTATATTAACGGGGTGGCAGATAATCCGATAATAATCTGAAAAAGATTAGGTAACGTGTATATAAAAAAAATGAACCAAAAAAGAAACCTCCTTCAATAATAAAATGGTTATAAAAAAACATATTGTAGCGTTTTACCAATAAAACGATTTTGATCTACAGTACGATATCTTATCAACTAACTAAACAAATATCAACGCAGCTTGTAAACACAAAGTAGTTATTATTTAAATGGGAATAAGCCACAATTAAAGGTTAAAGTACGTTTATTAACGTTTCAATTTCCACTTCAGAAATCGTTCTCAAAATACAAACATTAGTAACTTAGTTTTTTGTTACTTAGTGGAAAATTCTTCTAATTTAATTATATCTGACTCATTTATATTGACAATTCAGACATACATTATACATTTTAAAGTAGACGACTTTAAAATGATAATCGCAATATTGTTGAGTTGCGCTCCAGGGACGACTTTACTTATAATATAGTTCATTAGATTACATGAAATCAACTTTGACTTGAGAATATCCGTCAGAAAAAATCATAGCATGTAATTAGTCTTTAATAAGAGAAACACTTGCCGTGATGACAGTAAAATTCTCGTGTTAGTGATTCCATGTAAATTATGAGGGAAAAACTAGGAAAAAACCTCATAATACTAGCCTGACATGGTAAATATTTGGTCGTGAATTTAATTTACCTTCAATAAACACCAAATTCTGATTTTATATGTTTGTTATTTAAAAAACATAAATGATGTTCCTCTATATGTTACTGACTTACTAATACTGGTATTTTCTTTTTTATAACTTTCTCTTTCAATATGGGAAACCAGATCCAACTACATTCTGCCGGGGAATTTGCGACACGATTAGTCTCATTTCGCATAATTAGAGCCTCTTCTTTGATTTTTCTCTTTTTACCATCCGTTTCTTTTAGGACTATATTTGAATCATTCCATTGAACCCTATGTTCATTATCCCAAGCGTATTTACATATTTGAGATCTATCAAATTCTCTATTTTTAATATAAGATTGATGTTCACTTATTCTCAAATTTAATGGTCTTGATGATTCACCTAAATAAAACTGATCACATTCACAAGGTATTTTATAAATGCAATTCTTTGTACTTTCTTGTTCATTGTTAGGTTTGGTTTTGGACAAAATAGATCTCAACGTGTTTGTTGTTTTGAATGTTGTTGAAATGTTGAATTTATTTACAATGACAATAGCTTCAGAACATTTATACAAGTTGTTATGTATTATTATAATCTGGAATAGTCCGCCTCTATTCTCGCTTGTATGACCGTCGCGATTTCTCAGCCGGTCTATACATCATGAACAATATTGAACACACATCATCGTCTTGAGAGATCCAACCATTATATGGGGTATGTTGAAATAAGCTTGTTCGTTACACTGCTCCCCTCTTAGATCTGAGCGTTTATGGTGGAATCTACAGGACTCTCCAACTCTACATGAACCACTCAAGAAAAAATAACAGTCTAAAGCTTAGTCGACAGTCATCTTCGATCTCATGTTGAAGGAGTCGTGCTTCTTCTGTTTCATTTGAGCCAGCATAATGTGCCAGACTATTTATGCGAACAACTTTTGGTTTACCTTTTGTCAACTTCTTAATTCGATATATTACGTCATTTATTCTCTTTTCAAATTCATTTATTCTCTTTTCAACGCTTTCATTTTTGCATCGACAATC